TATATATATATATATATATATATTAAATTAAACATCTTTTAAAATTGGGCGTTGGGATATCCATTCCGGTGACCGAACAATTCTAACCGTTTAACGACTGACACCTAAGTTTAAATGAGCTTAACAACTCATTTAAGCTAAGTAAATTCAAAAGAAAATAGTGGTACTGGAAAGAGGGAACCGTGAGATCCTAACCGGTGTGGCTCTAATCAACTTTAACTCCCCATAATAATTGAACTGAACTTTTCATTTAAACCTTTAAACCTTTAGAATTTAAGACTGCTACTTCACCGAGGAGCTTAGAGCTAACTACGAGAGCAAAATTCTACAACAACAAGGGGATTTACAACAATAATTTCTTCTTTAGAATTAAACAACAAACCACGAGATTTTGAGGTTGTTTGCCTAGAGTAATATAAATCCTCACATTATCTTTAGGCCTTTGCACAATTATGTTGTGCAATCTAAGCCCTAACTAGTCTTGGGATTCCAAGGTTGTCGTTCGTTGCGACATAAACCCTCCTATCTTTCAGGCTATTTGTATGATTGTGTCATGCAAATATAAGCCCCAACTAACTAAATTGGCAGGATGAAACATTTAATAATTTCCTTCTCAAAATTGAAGCCAAACTATAAGATAGCTTGGGAGGTCATTGAGGATCTCCTCAGGATCTGTGACATCCCCTAGTTTTCTCCCTTTGGGTTCCACAACAATGTTCCAAATTTGAGCTCTCTCATTTGACACTTCTTGGTTCGATCTTTAAAAGTCATATCCATTAAAATTTTTGAAGACATCATTTTCTGATCTAAATTGAGAGCTTTCTTAGGTGACCTCTGTCATTTGAGATGTAATTTACTATATGAGTTTGCCTCTATAAGGAGCTTAAAGAACCGGGTAATATAAACCCTACATAATCTTCTATATTAGGTATGAGAACTTGCCGACTTATATAAATGATTCACAGACCGAACAGATGTCATAATCTCTATAGTTTATTTAATCGAACCTCACAGATAAGTGATATATCTATTCTGCGGGATAGATATGTCACTTGTAGTGTTGTGCTCGTTTATTTAAACTATTGTGTATATGCGATCGGTTTGGTCTTGTATGTTCAAAATTAAAACATTACTTTTCAAAATTAAAATACTATTTTTCTAAAAATCAAATTTACATGTATATTAAATTAAAATGAAGTGAACAACTTTTAGCGGCCGACACGCTTTTGCTCATACTAGGTGAAATTTGAAGCTTTATCTCCCTCTCTTGTTGACAATCTCTTGGTGAAGAAGGACTTGAGTTTTGTATAGTCCATAATCTAATCCATTTTGTTGAACTTAAGGTGAATATTTAAGGCCCCCTCCACTTGTACATTATTCTTCCATGATACTATAATAATAACTTCCTTATAGAATGCTTATTTTTGAAAGCACATATGTGCAATCAATGCAAAATCTTGATAGATTTGATAGTGATTTATTTTTTTCTTAAATCTAAAAATCTAACTGAAATTCATTTTAAAGAGAACCAACTTTCTATTCTAAATCTGGTTGTGATTTGCCCATGTAGACAACTTATTCGAGTGCAAACTAGATTGGGTTTGCAACCACGAATGGCATTTTTGAGTCTTTAAGGAATTTTAGGTGTTAAATAAAGAAGTTTAAGACTTTTTATATAAATATATAAATATGAAAGCTGGAAGTTTATATAAATGAAACAAATGTGAAAGTATTGACATGAATGAACCATTAAGAGCTATTTATTAGAAGGTTTAAGATAAAACTTAAATCCCACTTAATGACCAAAATAATAACTTTAAACTTTTTTGAGGAACTGCTCAGGGTGAGTATTATTTTTATGTGAATGTGTTTGTAAAGTTATAATGTGAAAAATAAATATTTTTTTTTAAATTATTGTGAGTATTATAAATAATTTTTTGAAAAATCTGAGAATAATTTTTGACAACTATTACGCTTTAAGAGATCCAATTGTAAGAAAAATATTTTCTCATCGACAATAGTCAGACACGACTATAAATATGAAGAACAACACAGTGAGAACCCATTGATGCCTTCCCCAACTAGCTTTTGTTGTGGCATTCGCTCTTCTTTTTGGATGGCTTTATGATCAAGATAGAAGGGGAAGATAAAGCGGGGAGGGAGAAGAGGGTGTGGTTTTTAGGCATGCATAAATGCAATTATAATTTTTGCTTACAAATTAGTTGTCTAGTTTGTATTGAATAATTTAAAATGTTAACTAAATTAATTTGTTAATGATTTAATCCGATTTTTTATATTTGATTAGATCTATAAATTCTTAAATAATAGTTAATTAAACTATTAAATTTTGTTAATAATTATGAACCTCTAAAAATCACCAAATGATATTATCTAAAGAAAATTCTAATTAATGAGTGATTAATGCATGTAAATTAATAAGGAAGATATACAAACATTTTACTCAATTCCTATGTACTTGCACTATCTAACACCAATATTTTAATTTTTAGGTACATACCATCTTAGTCATGTATTGAAAATATGTATTTCACTTTTTAAACATTTAAGTGATAGTATTTTTAATGTGACATAAAATTAATATAGAAATTAAAGTTTAAACATCCGATAAATAAATACATATGAATAGAGTGGTCTGTATATAAATATCTAAATTAATAAATAATAATTAACATAAGTAAAGCTAATTAAATTAAATTAATCTAACAAATTAAATCTTAATAATTTCAGATAATTTAACTAAATTTAATCTATGCTGTACCAAATAATTTCGAAGATTTAACTAGGAGTATAAACAAAAGCCGTTCACGAAAAAAAAATCAATTTGACAACCCTAATCATGTAGTCGTAAGATGTTAATATTAAAACATCATTTAAATATAATTTAATAATTTTTATTATATTTTTTTAATTAATATATATAATTGATTAGTAGTATTTCGAGTCAAAATTAACTGTACATAAATAAATAAATTTTTATTCATATTGTTCATATGCGACTTATTAACTTAGAATGAGTTGTTCACGGGCGATCTTGCCGTCCTTAGTTGTAACCATCCAAAAGATAACGGAATCTACACTGAAATCTTAAATCTAAAATCCTAAAGTTTAAAGCATTCCATTCAGCTGGCCGACATTAATTAGACAAGCCAGCGAAAAAACGGCAGGACATAAACCCCCTTCCGCAGACAAGGCTGTCCAATCATACTGCTTAGAACACGGAGCAATGGCCGCGGCCTCTGTTTGCGCACCGCCTCTCCCGGCGGCGAAGATCCTCTTTCGAGCGCGTCGTGAAATGCGCTTCAGTCTTTGTCTTTCGAGCACGGTAGATCTCTCCATTGCAGCCATGGGGTTAATGTCGAGACCAAGGGTTTTGAAGGTCCGCGCCGCAGGTGTAGATACTACTCATGGCGAGACGTTGGGATCAATGGATGATTCTGTCCGTGCCAGGGCTAGAAACCCGTGAGTGCTTGGAATCCGACCCAAAGTTTTTTTTTTTCATTTTTTGCATCTTGCGCAGGTGTGAATTTTCGAAATATTTGTTGTTTTGTGGTTTATTGCTTTAATTCTGTGATCTTTAGGCGGCTTATGGCTTTTAGTGAGCTTTTTGCCAAGCATTGCATGCTTGAAACTTGTTTTCTTACAGTTCATTTTTATAATTTCCGTAAATCTAGCTATTATTTTGTTTCGATCGCTTCATCTTCTTCACTGCGCATTGATAAATTCTTACAATTGTTTTATATCTTAGCTTTATATTTGAAAGCTTTTAGGTTTTGCAAACTGTGCTAAACAATGTTTTTTTTTGTTTTTGTCACAAATGAAGGGTACTATTTTTTTGACCCCCAATTATTGAACTAAGTTAAAAAGATATTTTTGTAATGTGGTGCCGCTCACCTACCACATCTCACCTACCGCTCACCTACTGCTCACTTACCTCTCACCTACTGCTCACTTACCTCTCACCTACCACTCTCTTGCTTCTATAAATCGAGAGAGTGTGAGACTTAGGAGAGCAAGGGAAGAGATTTTAAGATACCACAAATGAGGAGAGAATAACTAGAGAGCTAGAGAGAAGGAGAGCATCTTGAGGTCTTGTATCAAGGTGTCGCTTGAGAGGGAAACCATAGAAGGAAGATGAGGGCCCATCTCTATGTATAAGCTATGTATTCTTAATTTCTTTTGTCTTTCTTAGTTAACTATTTGATTGATTCTTTCCCGTGGACGTAGATCCAGTTGGATCGAACCACGTAAACGATCTGTGTTTGCTTGTGTTCTTTGCGTCTCATTTCTATGCTAGGAAGTACATATCTCACAACAATTGACGCCGTCTGTGGGAAAATTCATACTTCTTGACTAGAGGTATCCGCGTAAAGGTGTTCGTGGCCAGCGACGAAGAAGAGGAGTTCGACATTCACGAACAGAGGAGCAAGCGGATCGTGTCGCAGGCAGTGTGTCGCAGGCAGCCGCAGGCAGCCGAATCACGATAAATTCGGTGAGCAATGGAAGCTTTGATCAACTGGATTCGCACCGCAGGTTGTGCATTTCAGCAAGACGGTGGAGTAACAGTCCGCGAGCGAGGGCCGAAAATTTGTGACAGGGCTGCCAGCAGAGGATTTCAGAGTAGGAGTTAGAGTAGGAGTTCGGTCTTGCGAGCCAGAGGGAAGAGGTGGAGATCGCGCAGAGAAGGGTTCGGGGAGTTCCCTGTTCGGGAGTTCGCGAAGCAGGAGGACCTGAGCAGTTTAGCGAGGCGTGATGGCTCTGGAGAGGCAGTTATTCTCGTGCGAGAGGCAGATGATGAATTCCTGACTTGTTCCGCTGAACACAGAGGAGTGCCTGTGGGAAGGAGGTCGAGCACATAACAAGAAGTTTTTTCCGGTGAACAAGTGTGATCTCTGCCAAAAGGGATCAGAGCTCTCCGTTCGGTTGGCGAAGGCAGTGGAGTTCACGGGGAGAAGGTAAGAAGTTTGATGAGAATTTCTTGAACAGCGAGGCGTTAAAAGGCAGGTTTAGGCTTAAAACTTTTGGTTGCTATACAATAGTACAACATTTTGGTAATTTCAACCTGGTTCTTGGAAGGGCAGCAGGTAGAATTCATTGGAAGAAATCTTAGCCACGACAATGAGTTCCGCCAAATTCGACATTGAGAAATTCAACGGGAAGAACGACTTCGGCCTATGGAGAGTAAAGATGAGAGCGAACTCTATTAGTTCTGCAGGGTCTTGCAGAAGCCTTGCAAGGGTCGGCGGCATTGTCGGCCGACATGACCGAGAATGGGAAAGCACTTTGGGCCAAACTCGAGGTACTCTATCTGACAAAGTCTCTGGCTAATAGGTTCTTTCTGAAGCAGCGTATATACTCCTTCAAAATGCATGAAGATAAATCTGTCTCAGAGCAGATCGACGAGTTCAACAAGATCATCGACGACCTCGAGAACATCGACGTCAAGATGGACGATGAGGACAAAGCACTGTTGTTGCTAAACTCTATTCCTAAGAGCTACGAGCATTTCAAGGATGCGATGCTTTATGGAAGGGTGCAAACTATTACTCTAAAGGAGGTTTAATCTCTGATTAGAGCCAAAGAACTTCAGAGGAAGCATGATAGAGACAAGGAAGTCAGCGGTGACAGTCTTATTGTCAGAGGAAGATCGTCCAGGAAAGATTCAAGAAATGGTCTGTACAGATCAAGGTCAAGCAAGGATAGAGGGAACAGTCATCAATGGGATCTTTCAAGTGCTATCATTGTCACAAGGACGGTCATTTCAAGAGGAACTGCCCAGACAGGAAGAATAAGTACCAAGAAGAGCCAGAAGAATCAGGAGGAGCAAGCGTAGCCTCTGATGACTATGATTCTGCTAAGGCCCTGGTGATCACAGAATCTGAATCCAGTAAAGAGTGGATCCTCGACTCAGGGTATTCTTTCTGCATGTGTCTTCACAAAGATAGGTTCGGGATACTGCAACAGGAAAATGATGGGTCCGTTCTACTGAGAGACAATAAAACTCACAGGGTTGTTGGAAGTGGATCAATCAGGATAAGGATATTTGATGGAGTTGAACGAGTACTGAAAGAGTACTGAAAAATGAAAAATGTCAGGTACGTACCAGAGCTAAAAAAAAAGAAATCTGATTTCTTTAGGTACGCTGGAGTCAAGCGGATGCTTGTTCATGGCAGAGAATGACTGCATCAGAGTAACCAAAGGCCCTCGTATCCTCATACAAGGAGTCAGGAAAAAGGGGTTGTACTCTCTTATCGGAAGAATCGTGATTGCTAAGTCCATGTACTGTTTGGACTTAGCAAACTCAAGCAAGGGCTGAGGGCCCCTCAGGGGCCAGGTGGAGGGAATCTTTAGTTCGAAGCTTCTCAATTGAGGGTCAAGGTGGAGAATTGTTATTTTGACCCCCAATTATTGAACTAAGGTAAAAGGGCACTTTTGTAATATCGTGCCGCTCACCTACCACATCTCACCTACCGCCCACCTACATCCCACCTGCCGACCTCCGACCACCTACCTCCCACTTATCACTCTCTTGCTTCTATAAATAGAGAGAGCGTGAGGCTTAGGAGAGCAAGGGAAGAGATCTTAAGTTATCACGACGGAGATGAGAATAAATAACTAGAGAGCTAGAGGGGAGGAGAGCATCTTGAGGCCTTATATCAAGGTGTCGCTTGAGAGGGAGACGATAGAAGGAAGATGATGGCTCATCTCTATGTATACACTATGTATTCTTCATTTCTTTTGCCTTAGTGAATTATTTGATTGATTCCCTCCCGTGGACGTAGATCCAGTTGGATCGAACCACATAAATGATCTGTGTTTGCTTGTGTTCTTTGCGTCTCATTTCTATGCCAGGAAGTACATATCTCACAACAGGTACAGAAGAACTTAGAACTTATGACTACTGGTTCTAGTAACATTCGAAACTGTGAAATCACTCGATCTAAAAGGCTTATTGTCCAAGTTCAGTTTTGTATATATATATATATATATATATGTTATATTCCCTACATTGAAGCAGTTCAGAAGTGATATGCCATAAGAAAAGCGCTCACCATGATGAATGATAAGAATCCCTACTTGGAAGAGAATAGAGGTTTGTGGGTGGTGAATAAAGCAACTTTTCAATCATAGTGAATGAGCACCTTAACAATTGTAAGCTCATACAGCTGAATCTACAATGCGAAATATGAAATTGCCGTCATTGATGATTTAGATTAGATGGACGGATTCATGCCAAAAGATGAGATTAGTGTTAATGAATAAGTGCTCAACATTGTTGACCAATTGTTCGATAGGAATCATGATATGATATTAATTTGGGAGCTAAAAGGATCATCATTCCATCAAAAACACATACTGTGAAGAACATTAGAGTACAAATTGCGCCACCTTGATCCATTGCTTCAAATTAATATCATTAGGGGCATGATGGGCTAGCATGGATCTCAAAAACTATCTAAGTTTTAGCAAGCACTAAATGACCCTTCAGCCAATTGTCCGTAAAAACCCTCAAGGTGGAAAGCAAAAGATATCTCTTCATTGTGCTCTCATTCTTTCATCCCAAAAAGGAAATCATTGAATATTTTTCAACACTTAGCATTAAGCTTAGTCACTGATTTGAATGTTGGATGGTCTTCTTGGGCAAAAAATAAAAAAAATAATAAAATATATATATATATATATACTTAAGAGTATTTTTAAGAAATTTTTTTTTGCTTATTATATT